AGTTATGAATACTGCAACTGCATTACTTACAACAATGGATAATAAGCACAATAATTTTAATATTAAAATTTATTTTTTGACCTAAGGACAGTACACTGTTGTTATTTACAGCTGCCTCTTAAAGCAAATCAGAACTTGCAGAATACTAATGCTTATCATGGGAAGAATCTAACTTACATGGTAGCATCCTTTACTGAGAATTGTTCAGAGGGCAGATTATTGTCACCCAAACTCATTTTACTCCCACAAAGATGACGAATTTCTGGCCCACCTATGCACATGGCTGTGAAGTTTGTCATGCTATACTGACATACCTTAATTCCTATATTACTTCTCCCATGAATAAAATAACGGTTCTCAAGAGGTGTGAATATTTCCTTGGAATGAATGTTCTTTTATTGCTAGAGAGGAAGTACAAAGAGGATCTCTATGTGTCAAATATAGATTCCTGTGGTCCTAACCTTGACAAAAACATTGAAGAATTCAACATCAAATCCCTACTGCTAAAACTCCACTGGTCTTATTTAGTATTAAGATTAAAAATTAGCTATTAGTATTAACAATAGGCCTTTTTGCTTATCCATTATGTATCAACAATAGGCATTTCAATTCAGTTGCAAGGTTTATCTTTTTCTTTTCCATTCGTTTTCCATTTCCTGTGTTTGGTCCACACCACCAGCTTTTATATTTGGTAAGAATCATATACCGCCGCCATCTTTATATATTACTGTTTGAATCTGCACAAAATGGCTGACAGGCTACAATGCCAAACAACTTCTTACTCACATACCTATCATTAAAAATTCAATACCTCTGATTTCAATTTAGGCCCTTACATTCCATACTTAATACTTTTACAATACAAGTATCTTTTTCTGTTTTGCTGCACTTCAAGATTGTGCGTCTGAGATATTTTTAATTTTACCTTAAACAAGATCTTTGGAAATAATTTACATGTCTGAAAGCACCATAATCTTTCGAAATCATCCTATAATGTTTCTCTTTTAACCTAAACTTCTAAGCACTGTACAACTGCTTTATAATAACTTACCAAAAATTCAGCTCCTTTTAATGTAATTTATAAAAAATCTTAGGCCATCATTATATGTGATAAGATAACAATATGGCTGTCATATCCTCCCTACAACCTATACCACTTTTGAAAAACTGCCCTCCCTTCCCCCTTTAAACTTACATTCCTGATTTCAATCACACTAAAAAAAATCATACTACAACTAATTCAAAATAAACTAAGGTTATTATGGTAACACAACTATATCCCTACCGACTAATACAACTGATAACATCATTATGTTACATTTTGTATGAAAGGGACCAGAATTTGAAAGCCCATGTATCTTAGGAGTGAATGGCTCACTTGAAAGCACATCTTGTAACAAATAGCAGTTTATGTACTGGTTTTAGTGTTAAGCTTTGAAGCAGTTACCGGTGACATTATAACGTCACTGTTATTAGGTTATATGCAACAAACATCCAGACACAAGCTAGTGAAAAAGGTTTGTTTATATTTGATATTATCCTCCAGGTAGCGAAGTAATATATTTATATATTTAAACACCCAAATTAGATACACTGAGGGTCAAAGAAATTGAGCATGCCACTATGAGATCCATTTATAAGAGACAGTAACATAGTTCAGTCATAAATGGCTACCATGTAATAACAACAATAATAATTCATGATGGAAAGTGAACTACTATGACCTCAATAAATGTTGATAATGTTAATTACTACACAAAATTAGTAATTGCAATGTCTTGCATGACTGATATTATTCACTTTGAAAGATGAAGAGTAATAGGTTTATAATTCTTTATGATGACAAGTCCTACATCTACAAATTTTCCTTAAATATATTATTATGGGACATAAGCCTTTACTGCTTGTGAATATAGGATCTATAAACCAGAACTTTTGAAATGAAAGTATTCTTAGAGTCAGTCAAGAATGGCTTAAGTGAAGACAGACTTAAAAATTCCTTAATGGAGATCTCTTGAATTCTTTCTCTACAAAAAGTCTCCACTTCTGACTTTTATTCTATATAATTCATAAATACTTTTGCTAGTCTCATGCTATTTCTTACAGAGACTTGCATTTGCACTTTCATATTATAATAAATCACAAATCATAAAATATTCACATTACTGCAAACTTTTTACCAACAAAAAAATAAAATTGCTACAACATCTGCAGCCTGTGAGCTGCTCAGTTCTAGTCCCACAGTAACTGTGCTCACAATAATAAATCCAAGATATAGATTTGTAACTGAACTACATCCCATCACACAACTGGTAGAGATGTATGAATGTTTGCGAGCATAATGGTCGGTTCCACCAACTTCAGTTATATATCGTGGTAAAATAATTAAATTTAATTCTAAACAGCAATCTAAATTAAATCCAATTCTATTTATTTTCTCAGTTCCAGAGATAATTGTACAATATTAGAAATGTTCACAGCCATAAAAACCTGCAAAGTTTCTAAGGTTGGAATTATGATTTCAATAAGCAGAAGAGCTACAACATATTGAAATCACAGTTACCATTAAGATGTTAAATGTAGTATAAAACACACTCCTGCATTAATTTCCTGCAGCCTTACAGATGCAATCTATACATGCCTTTTCCAATGATATCTTTGTCTTCAACAAGCCAGTGTAAGCTATGATCACATTTAATCAGATATAGACTATAGCGCTTATTACTCTGGTTGATTTCCAAATACTTATCTAAACCAGCATGAATGAGTGAATTTCAGCAACTGAGTTCGTTGCTTCCTGGTGAGCCGTTCTTATAATATTACAAACATTCATTAGTTTCCCATTAACATACAATTATAATATATACATATAATTGACTCTAAATATTGCACTTCTGAGATGGTGAAACCGGCCACAAGCAATAGCTGGACAGACTATATACCCCATAAAAATAACTTCCATATTGACTGAAAACTAAATACAGCATGGAATTACTTCAAGTTGTTCAGAGCGAAGGGCTTAGCTGCAGTCAGTATTGCAGATCTAGGAGGCATTATAATTTATTTATTTATTGCACTTTTAGATTTTTTTAGAATGGTTCCTAATCCAATAAGCATTATGATCATTGTTCTATCAGTTTCAAACTGGCATCCATAGAAAATCTTAAAGATCTTTATTTTGTTCTTTAGATAATCATCTACATATTTTGAACACAAAGTCCCTGCAAATGCTTGCATAAAGGATATTCTCTTTCCCTTGAGTTACAATGATTATAAACACAAAATTAATTTGATTCGTTTCATTCTGGTCTGTCACACTAACAGTATTATAAAAGATAAAACAATTCCATCCAGTGTGACTGGTGAAGTTTACCTTATTTCAATTCTTAATGCCCTTACATGTTTCGGTCCTTAAGAGACCATCATCAGAGGGATATCGATGATGTGGTTTCCAAACTGTATCGATGTCCTTCTGATGATGGTCTCTAAGGGGAGAAACACGTAAGGGCATTAAGAATTGAAATTAGAAAAACCACCAGTCACACTGGATGGAATTGTTTTATCTTTTATAACATAAAATTAAGTTTTTAATTAAATCATTGTTCAGATGATCAGCAGTTACAATAGTAGAAGAAATATGCACAAGAATCTGTACTGTTATGTGACAATATTTTCGAAGAATTTGGGCTGCAATATCGACTTTAACTACTACCCTTAGGGTACAGGTCCACAATGTTAGATGACTGAAACTTCATCTTAACTACACACATATCAACTGAGAATAAATGGCATCTTACCTTGTCTGTTAACAACATTTACATATGGAAAATGAGGTGAAACTTTTGTACATCAGTTTTCATGTTTAAAAAGGCTTCTTTCTGCAATAAGATTTTGTACGCACATAAATCACTTTAAGTGGCGGATCTATATCATAGTGTTTTCCATCAAGGCAGTGACCAAATGCTACATACAATAGAGGACACAAAGAAATTCACACCACTCACTGGCAGACGTTTTTCAAAACACTGGATTAAGTTGGAAAATGTGAAAAACTTACTGCGGTATAAGAATGAATAAAATCAATATTGTGAGTAAGAAGAGTTCTAGCTTCTGTGACGTAACACAGCATAATCCCTGAAGACAGGGATCTTCAAACACTGCTGTGAGAACCTCAATCCTAAATACTGCTCTTCACTACAGCTTTTAATAATTATATCACACTAAAAAAGCAAAATGCAAAATGAATTACCTTTTATTTCCAAACCACAGAGATGAGTGAACAAATATGTATAAAGTATAGTAATGTGAATGGTAAAATGATAATATAGTCAGATATTTATACTGCTGCCATAAAACTGAAAGACTGTAACTGTGGATAATTTGCCTGAAAGTTATAAACTGCATTGGAACTGAATCTTGTTACTTGTCCCTGCCTGAACAGGAAGCATTTTCTCTCTAATTGATATGATGATTCATAGACACCATGAAGGTATGATACAACAGTACCTGAATTATCTTTATCACTTAAGATATCTTAAAATGAATTAACGCAGACCTACAAATTAGAACGCTCCTCAGACAAAATGTAATACGTAATATTCCACACTTCTTTACATCCTGTCAGTTTCCTGACTGTGAGTAGTGGATATGTTTGCTAGAGCACTGCACTCCCTCGCATGAAGTTTGCATCCATTACTTGCCTTGGAAGAACTCACTAGGAAAAGTATACATATTTAATATATTAATATGAAGGTTTCTTTGTAAATTGAATGTGAGAAACTGTTTTACTACCTCTGAGATTTTATTTACTCTTCTGATGCTGTTTCTAATGACAGACATGCTTGTATTGAAGCATTAGTTAATTTTGCATGTTCTGTGTTTGTCAATTTATTTTCAAGAAAACCGAGTTTGTATAGGGGAGACAGTTACACCTGGTCTTACTTGTACTGAAACACAATCAGTAACACAGTTACGATGATGTCTATTGACTACTGAATTTATTTTTAATTTTCATTCAAACTCCCAAAATGGAATAGTACAAATACAAGTTACAGAATAAAGCTATCTTTAATAATTAACATTTAGGAAGTCATTTGAGCGCTGCATTTCATTTAGTGTCAAAGTGCAAACATTATATATGCAATATTATGCACTCATATAAACATGTCTAATACAATGCTTCTAGTCTTACTATAACGGCAGAGACTTAAAAAGAGTAAAAATTCCATTAATATTTTTTCTCTCAACTATATAACCAGATATAAAAGAGTTTCTGCAGAGTAATATATTATGTAGCAATGCTACTGTAGTGAATACAGTTTTCCACAAGAAAGACGTCTGATTCTGAAGTGATGGATATATGTAGACAACCACAGGAACATTATGGATAGGACATGACTGGTGCTATGGTTGAATTAACTTGTTTGTTTTATGAAGCTCTTATCCACTTTACTTTTGCACCAATTGTGCTCAAATGCACTTGATGAGGATAACCTATATGTAGTGTCGTCAGTGTGCGTTAAAATTGAAGAGCACTATCTTTGGAGATGTGATGCTGTGTAGTCTGGTAGAAGTTCACAAATGTTTCATAAGAATGCACTGTCTCCATCATCAGGGTTCAACAGCAACCTATGCAAGCAACAAACATGAACTTCTACTGAAAGAGAGAGCATCACACCCAAAAGGTAGTACTGTCCACAGTACTTCTGCAAGAATGTCAAATCCAACATGCGTTAAATTTGATACATTACTACATGACTAGCTAATTCTTACACATACAGTTGCAAGAATTTTATACAACACTACGCCATGACATCAACAACATACAAAATTTGTTTCTATGTTTGTAAACTCCAATTTTATATGACAAAATATTTTGTTTAAAAACGTTATTTACAATGATGCCAATTTGACTAATTTGAGCACATCCATAATTTTACATAACAGACACATATATATACTACAAGGGATTTAGCTTCCCATTGTAATGTAGATATTAATCAATATCGCTAACTTCATATTGTACAATAATTCTTAATCACTGGTAAATTAGCGTGTAAAATAGTCATGCTCAAATTACTCTTAAAAGAGACAAGTTTGGTGGTAGAGACAATTGGAGGCACTGTAAATGTCACCGGGAAACTACAGGAGTATGTTGTGCTGTCGTTTACAATAAATACCATTACAAATTTAAGGACCTGAATTTTAATACAATTTTTAAATTAATCTTAAATGCCAAGGATCTCCTAAAGGAGATGAACCTCAAAGATAATGTCTCTACAGATTCTTCCACAGAAGACATTAAGAAACTAAGCCTTGATTTTTACAAATGTATTAAACTGAAAGGGGACATGGAAGAGCACAAAGAAATACAAAAGAAGCAAAATGCTTTAAATATCAACACTCTATAATAATTTGTTAGTAAAAATTGCTTGGCCAATGCAAAATTATAAGCAAAATCATTCCCTATTAAGGAAATATTTTTCAAATGCCGGAATTTACAGTTGGAGGTTCTTTTCCTTGATTTGGAACAATTTGGGTAAAGCATCTTGATGAACTTGGTATTTCTGACATTAGTACAAAGAACTGGTATATACCAAATCCTATTTTCTTTGTGTAACATTTCTTATATAATCATGTGTCATTGTTTATACTGTTAATGACTTATACATATAATGGAATCTTTCCAGTTTCATTATTTGACATGTAGGGAGCAAAATGTTTTTGGAAAACCACATTTTACAAATCTGTGGCTGCAAGGAAGAAGTTCATATACCCATGTGTAGCAGTTCTTACAGTAAAAGTGTATTATACAGCAAACAGCACCTCTCTCACTCCAGTATCATAAAAATATGTTTTCATCCTGTTAATTCCAAAATTCCATAATTTTGATGCCTGGAAAGAGTGAAATAAAATACAGGTGACGTTTCTTGAAGTTGGGGAGACAGAGAGATCTGATAACACTGAATGTACTAAAGTATTACTTCTGCCCAGAGCACAGAATCACATTCATAACATTTAATATGAAAAAATAAATTCATCTACATGAGTAGATATTGAACCTCAACCCTGCATTCATACATCCGCATGAAGAAACGCTGACAAGACTCTTTGCTCATGACAATTGTTGGAACAATTTCTTAACTGTACAATAAATGACAATATACTTGTCACATAGCTTCAAATGCAATTGACCTGCAGTTCAGTAACTTTGACACTCCCAGAGTTTTTTAACACAATTTTCTTGCTTAAAATCAGCTAAATGTTTTTCCAGTTGACATTAGTGTTAAGTATGTTACCATGTGTCACACTGAATCAGTGCCATTTGCCATGATAATTCTGTTCTCTTCCCTGAATCAAGTACATGTACTCGTACATGCACAACATGAAAGTTTCTGTACTTCCAGATGAAAACAGCCATGCACAACTAGAAGTATTTATGTCATATTGATAAAGACAGTCAAAATCACCAAATACAAGCATGGATTTTTCCATTAAAAAAGGACAAATAATATGGCAGTTGTGTTGTGCACAATATGTATGCATGTATTCAGACAAACTTGATACCACTGAGCTATGCAGCTAGTTAGTACATGACTCTGAGGGACGGTTTCATAGGCATTTCATATCCACCGCTGAACCGCCATAATATAGAATCTCCAGACCTTACCTTCTCGACCCATCTTCGCTGCCAATGACATCTTTTCCAAACAATGTATACACTATTCCTGAATGTGCTAACACTGTTATGGCCAAACCTGAAGTACGTCACGGGTGTAGCAGAGAGACAGGGGCTTCACAAAGTGTGTGTCCACAGCGCCACAGTGCAGACATGGCACAGGATGACTGTAGTCAGAGTAGAAGTTGAGTCTCTGGTGGGGTGGCAGGATTGGCTTGGCACAGCTGTTGCACTGCAATGAAAACAGTCATCACAAACATGGTGTATGCCCATGTCAACCCCATTCATATATTTAATGTTCTAAAATAATCTGTTTATCAGCTATTGACACATATAATATTTTATTGGGAAATTTGCAGAAAGTCATAACCCACTAAATAAGCTGCATACTGCTGCTACTGCTGCTGCTGCTGCTGATGATGATGACTACAGGTGGTGGTAGTGGTGATGGTGATGACAAAAACTACAATATTTTTAGTTCCACAAGAAAAATGTCTTTTGTATATTGTGTGTAAGGCCTACATATAAATCAATGAACAAATACAAGGAAACGTTTCAAGTTCAAGCGTCTTGTAGCTTTAAAGCAGGCTTCATACTTAGACTGCTGGCACTGGAAATTTGCAGAGTATTATGACATACAAGAGATTTCACAAAAGATACACATTAAAAATAAACTAATTTTCTATGTGATTTTCTCACATTACTTAAAATAATAAATAATTCGGTATTCAAAGGTAATGCACCATTCATACCGAACTCAGTAGTCAGTTGAAGTACAACATACCCTCATGACTAATATGCTTACAAAATCATGATTTTCTATTTGTAAGCAACATTATCTCTTTGTTTTTAAAGTTGAAGAGTTGTTACTGGCAATTGAATGTAACCTCTGAATGTGGCTAGAATTTCGTTATATGGATAAGTGCATTAACCTGCTCAGGAAATATTATTAGATAACATTCTGACTGAAATCGGCTATTCACAAAACAGTGGATGTCGACGTAATTTTCTTAGATCATTGATGTATCGATTTAGTTACTCTTAATGCAACTGCAAAGATTCTACACGTCTATCAACACAATGAACAAATGTAACCAGAACTTCAAAACAAACCTTAATATAAACTAATTATGGTATTACCAAGACCACACTATAATACGAAAGTTCTTGGAATTGATTATCTGTACTCTGCTACACTGGTAACAGAGGGGTGCAGAGCTACTCATGGAATTTATAAATTTATAGCTATGAAAACCTTGTATGTTGATTGACATAATTTAATTTACATTCTTGAATAAATGCAAGTTATATAGCTGAAATATTGGCGTTACGTAACATTCGGCCAAACAGGGTGAAGATGTGGATTGGTTCACCTGACAGGATAGGATTCAGTAGCGGGCTCTGGTTACCGCGGTAATGAACGTTTGGGTACCATAAAAGGCGGGGAATGTCTTGCGCAACTAAGCAAGTATCAGCTTTTACGACTTTCCCAATTGGAGTTACTCAGTTAATAGTTCGTAGTTAACAGGCCTATATAACATATATTACAGGTCTCATAATATCTGTAACTTTATATCAGTTCTCTGGGTGGTAAATGGACCGATTTAACGAAATGACCTAAAGGTAGAGTTATTCCTGTGATTAATTTAGCACTACGCCATTGAGCCTTTCTATGTATTTTAACCCGGAAAATAGGTGGATGTTAGTGGACAACTTCCAGCCTTGGCCGCTTTACTCCCGAGGAAAGACCCCCGGGTACCAACAGGATGGGGGGGGGGCTAGGTAGGCGCCAGTGGTTGTCTGGGAGCGGTAGAGACGAAAGAGTCTCCCCCTCTCTGGGAATCGAACACCGATTCCGCTGTCGTCCTAGTCACTAGACTGACTGAGCTATCCCTGCTCTGGCCATATTATTTCTGACTATGTGTAGTGTGCGGTATCATTTGTCATGGTTTTCCTGTGGTGTAAGCACGGTCACAGGAAATTCTAGTATAGCAGAGACAAGTGAAATGGTCGGTATGCTGTTATTGCTCTCCAAGCTCTACAATGACGTTTGTTTCACGGATTGTAGTGTGATGGACAACAACGAGTTGTGTACAATAAAATGTTCTGTCGGCATGTTTCGCTGCGACATCTGGCCGGCGAGTTAGTGTAACAAAGCAGAAGGGAAGCAGCCGCCACATAATCAGGCTGATAAAAGTCATCTTTCAAAATTTTGGTACACACCAGCTACAGAATCCCCCCCCACCCCACACGAACCTCATACCATAAAATTATAACTACACAACTTGCAACCATTCAGGAATCGAGGTTCTGGGTTTCAGTCATAGCCTCCTGAAACCGCTAAAGCAGGAAATGAATGAACGAAAGAAAATGAAGTCTGTACAACTTCTATAATTTTTTTGGTAAGAAAATCGGAAGGAAATAAAAGAAAAATGGCAACTGAAAACACAAGAAAAAAATGCAAAAATAATTTAAAAACAATAACGTGCTGTTTGTACACCTTCGATTTCACATTGGTATTTGCCGATTCATTTCGAATTCTGACTCGAGGGAGAGTCATCGTGCCGCGTTTGAATTCCATTCTCCAAACATATGGAATGATATTAATGCATTCAGACTTCGCCATACAAGTGTAAGCATGTATTCTTCGCAAGTACGCATATGGACAGTGTGCTGAGAATATTTGGACAGAAGAGGGATGAAATACTAGGAGGCTGGAGAAAACTGAGGAGCTTCATAACTTGTCGTCTTCGGAAAATACAATCATAACGATCAATTAAGGAGGATGAGATGGACAGTTCAGGTAGCACGCATGGGGAGAAGAGGAATGAATATAGGATTTTGGTGAGAAAGCCAGGAGACTACTAGGAAGACCTAGGAGTAGACGGGAAGGTAATATTAGGATTGATTTAAGAGAAAGAGTATGGGACGGTATGACCTGGATTCAACTGGCTCAGGACAAGGACCAGTAGAGGGATCTACTGAACACGGTAATGAACCTTCGGGTTCTATAAAATGTTGTGAAATTCTTACGTAGCTGCGTTACTGGCGGCTTCTCAACTCCGTGGAGTTAGCTGGAGTTGAGGAGCCCCATGGAACATTCACATGCCACAACAGCTTCATCATGCTACTTACAGAGCCGACATTTTGTATCCAATTTATGCTTCATCATATTTTCGTTTAACTTAAGTCTGAGTTGCCATTAGTTTGTTTTGTTTCCCCATTCACTGTTTGCTCCGTCCGTAAGTAGTTATATTTTCAACGTATACTTATTTCTTCATTTAAAATGGAAACTACAGTGACCGTGCATAATACTTTGTGCTCCAATTGTTGAAAATAATAATCTAATAAACAACAACACCATTACGTTATCATAGTTAATATTGAAATATGTTATGGCTACGTACTCTATGAAACACGTTGAAAACATAGGGCTCCAGCCGCTCCAGTCCCTGGTACGCGTTGGACAGGAGGATGGGCGGGTCCATTGATAGGTTACGAGCCGTTCATTAGATGCAGAAGGCCATGCTTTGTTTCCTTTGTAAAAATACCGTTACGTTTTCATGCCCTGTACATCACTACATCAATGCTTCATAACCATTTCTCATCTTTCGTTTTCATCTACAAGGAAGACTAGTGACTTTTCACCTATATCGTGAGAATTCTGGCATTATTATATAAGGATCTCGTGCAGTCCGCATTATTAGATTATCGTTTCCTGTTCTTATTCAAAAATATTGTGGCGTATGGATCCGTTGCTAGGCAAAGACCGCGAAACTAGACAACGACCACTTGCTAGGCAACAGTTTCGTAAACACGCAACAGTACTGAGGCCGCTGCCTCAATGGAAGTACTGTTGGAGGAGGTGTTTTCTATGAATCCCCTCCGAAGCTATATAACTCGACCGACTGAGTTGAGTGTAGTTAACGCAGTGCAGTGGGGTGGAGCGAGTTGGTTGGTGAGTGAGGTTGTTTGAGGATGCGGCGGTGAAGCTGCTAGCTGAGACATAGCAACGCTTATTTACTTTCCCATCAATTCTTACGCAGAGAAGTTTCCAAGGTCAAGAAATTGCATTTATTATAACTTTGTGTTTATTCTATTTTTATGCACGTTTCAATGTCAGGCGGAGGTCACAGGGTTGGAGCTGATCCAAACATAGGTTGGGACGTGGTTTGTGGGATGGTATAAGCATCAATATTACATGGGAAGACAGGATCTCGTGTATAATGAACCTTCCGTGTTACAACCACATACACACACGCACAAGCATACATTCCCACAACCTGTTTATTTCTGCTCGCCTATCGATCTGCCTTCTGAATTTCAGTCTCACTTGTCGTGTATTGTATCTCTATTTCCTTCTATCCGCG